CAAGGTTTGCACAGCATAATTGATGTCAGGTCTTGTAATGGTGACATACAGCAACTTTCCAACTAGCCTTTGATAGGCACTAATATCTTGTAACAGGGGATCATCCTTGACTTCATTTGCCGGATCATATTCTACTGGAGTGAGTTTTGCATTGGCCTCCAAGGGTGTGCAAGCAGGCTTAGCCCCACTTAATCCATCTCTGAGATAAGCTGCAATACATACTTCCTCTGGTTCAACAAAATGCCAGCCTTGGATCTTAGTACTTCAATTCTCAGGAAGTACTTAAGTTCTCCTAGGTCCATGACTTTGAACTTCTGGTGTAAAGTATCCTTGGCCTGTTTGATCAAGTTTGCACTGCTTCCTATGATGAGAAGATCATCCACATAAACTAGGACAATCACTACCTCTTCCTGGCTTCTCATAGTGAATAGAAAGTAGTCATAGTTGCTTTGGATGAAACCAGCACTTAGAAGTGCTTCTGTTAGCTTGATGTTGCACTATCTTGAAGCTTGTTTAAGCCCATATAAGGACTTCATTAACTTGCAAACTTTCTTGTCACCTTGTTGTCTAAATCCCTCAGGTAATTCCATATAAACTTCCTCATACAAATCACCTTGCAGGAAGGCATTGTACACATCCATCTGGGATAGATTCCAACCTTTTGAGGCAGCAAGTGCTATGATTGACCTCATAGTGACCATTTTTGCCACTGGTGAAAAAGTGTCATGATAGTCAAATCCTTCCCTTTGACTATACCCCTTTGCTACTAGCCTTGCCTTATATCTCTCAATGTCCCCATTTGCCTTATATTTAATCTTATATACCCATTTTGAGCCCACTGTGTTCTTGCCCTTTGGCAAATCAACTATGCACCATGTTTTGTTATCTTCCAAGGTCTTTATCTCCTGCTTCATAACCTCAATCCATCTACTGTCTTTGGCAGCTTCTCTGAAGGACTGTGGCTCAATCTGTTCTTGGCTAAATAATAGTGCTAGTTGGAGGATGTTTTGTCATAAGACAAATAGTTTGAAATTGGATAATTGCAAGCAGCAGCCTTCTTTGTAGTGATATAATCTTTCATCCATAGTGGCTCCTTGGTCTGTCTTGAAGACTTCCTGCCTATGTTTGATGGTACACTTCCATTTTCTTCTTCAAGTGATTGTTTCATTTCATTGTGAGACTCATGCTGAGCCTCTGCATCTTGAACAATAGGACCCTGAACTTCTGCATCCTGAAGGATTGCTGCATCAGAACCATCAGAATTTGCCTCCTCAACTACATGTTGTGTATCATCTTCTGTTTCTGTGTGATCTACATTTACTGTTGTTTCTGGTAAGTTTGATCCACCTGGAGTACTGTTGTGATCTGACACCTTTATATATAGAGGACAAAACATAAGACAATTTAGATTCCTTGCTCATATTAGTACTTCCTTTGGCAAAAGGAAACTCAGATTCCCTGAAAACAACATCCCTGCTAGTAAAGAATTGCCTAGTTTGTAGGTCCAGAAGTATATATCCCTTCTGTGTTTCAGAGTATCCCATTAAAACTGCTGCTTTGGCTCTTTCAGCAAATTTGTCTCCCTTGGGCAGGCTTATTGCATAACACAGACAACCTATAACTCTTAGATGAAGGAGAGAGGCCTTCCTACCATATAGTAGCTCAAAAGGCACTTTGCCCCCTAGAGTTGTTGATGGCAACCTATTAATCAAATATACTACAGCATCCACACATATGCCCCAATACCTTATAGGAATAGACCCTGAAACTTCAATGCCCTAGCTGTGTCAAGAATGTGCCTATGCTTCCTTTCTACTATGCCATTCTGTTGAGGGGTATAAGGACAATTACTCTGATGAATGATGCCAAGATTATTCAACAAAGCTGCACATTGTGAGTTAAAGAACTCAGTCCCATTATCTGATCTCAGTATCTTAATCATGACTCCAAACTGATTTTGAATCATGTTAAAAAACTGTTTTATTGCTACTATCACCTCAGACTTTAGCTGCAAAAAATGTACCCATGTGTATCTAGAATGATCATCTACAATAGTAAGGAAGTAGTACTTGTTATTGAATGTAGGAACCTTATAAGGGCCCCAAAAGATCCATATGTAAAAGATGAAACAATCCATCAGCTCTAGAGTCACTAAGTGGGAATTTCAACCTAGATTGTTTTGCTAAGGGGCAAACAAAACAATTATTTTCTGCTATACTACTAACACAACTATGTAAGTCCTTTATATTCTTCATAGTTGACAATGAGGGATGTCCCAGTCTCATGTGCCATAGGCTGCTGGTTCCTCCACACAATCTGCTCATTGCACAAATGGCCTTCAGCTTGTTAGTTAATCTTCTATTTCTAAGCAAATCAATCCAACTCTCTCTCTACCAATCCCCTTCACCCTGCCATTGCAGAGGTTCTGAAATACACAGAAGTCGGGAAAGAAGTTGACATTGCAAGACAGTGCTCTTGTGAGCTTTGAGACTGACAATAGGTTGAACCTAAAATCAGGTACATAAAGAACGTTTTTTACTGTTTCTTTATCCAGCAAACATGCACTACCAGTATGTGTGATATCAGCTTTTCCCCCTGTAGGTAGATGTACTCTGTCATTGTTAGATTTGTCTGTAGTTCTAGTGTTAGCTAACAGTTCTAATTTTGAGGCAATGTGATGAGTTGCTCCTGAGTCAACAATCCATTCTTCTTCTTTTTGGTTGGAATTAGACATTAAACAAGTGACATTACCTTCCATGTTAGCCTGGTGATCACCACAATCTTCGTTTAGCAAATTCAGAATTTGATTGTACTGTGCATCAGTGAAGTAGCATCCCTTGTTTTCAGTTGTTGTCTGTCTTCAATAAAATATATTCACTAAATAATTCCATTATTATTTAATTAACGTATTATAATTCCATCATTAAAATCTCAGGGTAACTTTTTCCCCAACCAAACAACCCCTTTAGTTATAATTTTAAGCCTGCCCCAAACATAAGGAACAATTTTTCATTTTCTCGCACCTTAATGCTACCACTGGATCCATGCACATTTTCACTGCTCAAAACATAATTTGAACTAACAGAGAATAATATGAAAGAATACCTATAGTAGTGCCTTGGGAGATGCACATTGCACGAGTCAACACCAATCGTAACAAGCCAAAGTCTCCATTCTAAGGCTAATTTGTAACATAATTCTGGTCTAAAGGAAACTGGATACAATCAAAAGGTAACTTCCTTTCGGAATGAAATTAGAAGTTCTATTGCTCCGGACAGGGGCGGAGCTAGCCCATGAGTTACTGGTTCGACCGAACCCAGTAGCTTTGGTCCAAACCCTGTATTTGTCTTATGAAATTCATAGAATATGACTAATTATTGATTTATAGCTCAGTAACATAAAAGGATTAGAACTCCGAATCCATAACCTTCAAATCCTGGCTCCGCCTCTGGCTCCGAAAGTAGTAGGTGGGCTTGGTTCCGGGAGCTCCAACAGGGGGATTTGTGTCTCAGCAAAACGTTTTCCTTTTCCTTTTCCTTCTCTCAGCTCTCGGGCCTCAACTGAATTTGCTTCATTTTGCTCGGTTGGGGGGGCGGAAGTACTCTCGAGCAGTGTATGGACTGTGATATCTGTGGTAGTAGGAGTAGAACTGGCCAAGGTTTGTATCCTTCTAAGCCAACAAAATTTAAGGTGTAAACCCTAAGATTCTTTAAGGGAATATACAATCTAATGTTGCGCTCAGTCAGAGGTCACCTTTTTCTTCTCCTTTTACCTTTCTTCCTTTCTGAAAGCCAGCACCCCCTCCACTCACCCGAACACTGTATCAAAGTAAAAACGAAAAGGCAGTTCGGTGCACTAACTCCTGCTATGAACAGTGTTTGAGGAAGGCCTGAACCATATTTTCTATGCAGTATTATCTTGCATTTTTACAAGAAGTTGTTCCCACGGCTTGAATATGTGTCCTCCCGGTCACACAACGGTAATTTTTACCGTTGCGCCAAGATTTCCTTTCTAATCCGCAAAAATCATGACATAAAAAAAGTAGACAATAAAAAAAATATTGCAATTCAATATTCGCTTTACTTTTTAAAAAAAAAAGGTAAACTAAAAATCTTTTTATATATAAGTTTTCTTGAGTGAAAAAAGTTACCTGGAGATGGTTCCGGGACTCTGTCAAGAAATGTGCAATACTGAGTTGGAGACTAAAACGTTTAGATGAAGAGAAGAGGTGACTCATTTTTCCCAACGATCCCTCATGATTTCATGTCCAAAGAGCTTTTGCCTTTTGACATTTCCAATCAATTATATCACCGGGTTCAACTCAACCCAGTGCTAATTGGCACGAAATATAATTTATATGTAAAAATTCACTAATATTACAATAAATAGCAATATGAGTCCATAACTTTAAAAAGACAATAGGTTCAATGCTAAAAATCCTAAAGGTTGAACCCATAAAATTTAAATCCTAAATTTGCCTCTCCCAAGGACTGTAGTGGGATGGATATGATCCTTTCACCCTTAATCAAAGATATCGAGTTCGAACCTTGAAAATAAAAAGAATCCTTGTAAGGAACAATCTCCCTTATAGTGGGCATTACAAGGTGTAAATCCGAATTAGTAGGGGTCCAAAAGCGAGGCGCGGGACAATGGATGGAAAACTAAAAAAAAAAAAAAAACTAAATAGAGGGACTACCAAAGGTTGTAGTGGGATAAAAAATCCTTATAGAGAGTACTTTTCAAAGGTCTCGAGTTCGAGCTCTTGAAAATTTTAAAAAATTCTTGTAGGGAGCACTTTTCCTTTAATGGGACTTACGAAGTATGAATCCGAATTAGTTGGGGTCCAAAAGCGGGGTGTCGGACAACGAGCGGAAAACAAACAAAAAGTAGGGAAAATGATATTGCATAGCCGCTCTCACAATAATAGCCGAAAAAATATGTATTAGGCTCTTTGGACACCTACAAATACCCCGCAACCTCTTCCCCTCTTATTTGCATTCAGAAACATAGTAACCAAAAACACCCCATACTCTCTATATACCAAATAGCAATAATAGTATCTTACATAATTTTCCCCACTTTTTTTGTCCTCTCTTAGCTTGCAACTGTCATCCAATTGGACACTGTTCTTTTCTATCTTCTTCTACTGTTTGCTTCTTGGCCTATGAAGATATCAACAACTTGTATAAGCAACAAGAAAATCAACTTATCTATAAGAATGGAAGAAGAAACAATGGCACCACAATTGAGTAAACCACCAATAATACCTTTGCCTAAGGCAAGTAAAGTGAAACAAGGCATAGTGTCAATTCTTGGATCAGAAGCTGAAAGAGGAAAATCAAGTGCACCCTCAATTAGAAGAGCATTTTCAGCTGATATGTCCTCTAAACAATGGCTAGCACAAAATGGATTTTTTTCTCCTATGAAAAGAATTGCTTCATCAAAAGATCTTGCTGTTGTTTCTGCTGCTGATCGTTCTTCCTCAGTTGATGTTTGGAGCTCAATTTTGTCGAAAAAGAAAGATGATCATGACATGTCGAATCTTGAAACACCTTATATTCACCCTCTTGTTAAAAGATCAACTAGTTCTTTAAGTGAAAAAAGTCTTGAAATTTGTACCGAAAGTCTTGGATCAGAGACTGGCTCTAATAGCTTTTCCTCCTACACTCCATCTGAAACCGAAGATGCAGAAGAGGAGGAAAAAGACGAACAACTACAACAACAACAATACGGCTCGGAATCCTTTGAGGAATTCCGAGCTGTAAAATATAATTATAGCAAGAAATCATCTTCTTTTCCTAAATCTTTTCCTCCTTCAATTTCTTCCTTGGCTAAAGGTGACAACAAGCCTTCTCTTCACATGCAATCTCGACGCGAAGATGGTAGATTGATTCTTGAAGCTATTTGTATTCCTCCTCGAAATCTTTTTCATGCACATTGCCATAATGGTCGCCTTCTTCTCACCCTCATTGATGATTGTACTCCTACTTCATTATCACAACCGGAGATGGAGGATTACGAAGAAGAATTTGATGAAGTGTTCGACGATATTGATGATCAAACACCTCAATTTGATTACCAAAGTATTGATTGTCCTGAACAAGAAGAAGATGAAATAGAAGAAGAGGAGGAAGAAGGAAAAAAGATAGAAAAGGAGATCATTGTGATGGAGCAAAAGCCAAGATTATCAAGTGGGGTTATAAATATGAAGAAATTTGTACCATGGTCTAACAAGTTTAATAAAGCTGTCAACTTAACGGGTTCTGTATGTTCAACTGAACTGATGAAGAAGCTAAGTCAGATAACCTCAGTTCCTCAGTCACTCCCAACTCAGCTAATCCCATCTCCACCACCACCGACCGCGGCCTCGGGCTCGGCAACTTTCAATATCTATGAGTACTTTTGGAGGAAGAAGCCAACAATTGCAAGCATTGCCAACAGTCTCACAATTGCAAAAGAATGCAACAACTTTCTTGCAACCAATAGTACTGCTACCAAAGCCGAGAGTACAACAAACATAGCCGCATTTGAGCAGCAACACATGGTTTTAATGAGAGGGAACAACAAAGAAAATATCAACTATTTGGTGCCTTTGCAAAGAGGATGCAAAGAGCAAAAGAGGTCTTTACTAATTTGGGAGCCCTATTGCATTGCTACCTCCTGATATAAAAGATCAATTCTTTAATCCAGTCCTAATCCAATTACTAATCAACCATTGAAGTAAATATAACTATGTAATATTAGTAAGATTGTAATTTTCCTCTTTGAGTCATGACAAATTTTTACTCTTTTTGCCAAAAAAGGAGTTCTGTACAACCAAATAACAAAGAGAGAGATCATTGCTTTATAATTTTATATACAACCATCAGATTTTGTATAAATTTTTCTTCTCTTTTTTGATATAACAATCTGGTATTCGAAATCAACTGACTAATCAACTAATTCAGGTTCACGTCACATGAGACCCATTAAAAGAAAAACACTCCTTAGTATCAGGAGCGAAGCTATGTGTGGCCAAGGGTGGTTAACTGAATACTCTACACCGAAAAATTATATTGTGTATGGGATAAAATATTACTTGTTATTGATTAAAACAAAAAAATTGACTTTGAATTCTCTTGCATAGCGCACTAAAAAAAGGTGTTCAAATTTTGAACGCTCTTATTGAATTTTTTGACTTTACCATTTCTTGGTATAAGCTTTGTTTTTGAGTTTATGATGATTACTAGAATTCTACTCCTTCCGTTCTAGTTTATGTGAACCTATTTTCTTTTTGGTCCGTTCCAAAAAGAATGACCTCTTTCTAAATTTGGAAACAATTTAGGTTAAACTTCTATCCTTAATGAGAAGCTTTTATAACCACACAAATACTCTGAGCCCTTTTTAACTTGTTTAGGACCACAAATTTTAAAAATTCTTCATTTTTTCTTAAACTTCGTGCTCAATCAAATAGGTTCACATAAATTGGAACGGAGTGAGTAGTACTTAATTATTAGCCAAAACAATCTGATGACCTATCTTTGACTTGGTGAAGTGTCATTTCTCTCTGGCTTGGCATCAAAAGGGGAATTCTCCCCTTTTTTCCTTTCTTTCTTCCTTTTTCCATAAGCTTTTGTCAGTCCAAACAAAGACTGAAAAGAAATTGAGCGGTAATGCTTTATAGAAAGACAATGGGCAGAGTGGTTTCCCTTTGGGAAGATGGTTTGCACTCTCCTTGCTGACTACAGTTATAATTATAGTTTCCAGTTGGATTCAGTAGCTTTGACTCAAGTTCAATATTTTTATTTTAAAAAAATAATTCAATATCTAAATAATATATTTAGATTCCAGTAAGCGAAAGAATTATCATTCAAAACTCATAAATTAATTAAAAATTCTAGATCCGTCTCTATTTCCATGCCAAACCCTACATCACTCTACTATTGATGACAGCCTCAATCATCTATTACAAACTATTCTGTTGGGGATAGTGTGAAATATTATACTACTACGTACTATTTTCCATGCATGAATATTCGATTCTTACTTTTCGATAAATCAGTGAAAAGTGAAGCTAATGGGGAAAAAATTGAGGTTTCTGTCCAAAAGAACATTTTTTTTTAAAAAGCAAAATATTTAAATAAAATTTTAGTAAAAATTTAGGTAAAGTAAGGAAGAGGTGATGGATGGTCCAGGTGACGACGAAGATGGCTTAAGGAACAAGCAAAGCAATCATTCATGATTTACCACTTTTGTTCACTAAAATTAACTAATAATATAGTAAAGATTACAACTTGAGAGTATCTATCGTTGGAAAAGTTTCTTTCTATGTGAAATCACTTCGAAATAAAAATTAAAAAAGACTGACACTTGACATTATTTTTAATGATGTAGAAAAGAATAGAATCAAATGGCATTATATATATATATATATATTCTCATGGTTGAATAAATTAACTAAAGTTATGTCGATAAACTAAATTTATGGGCGGTGAACTTCCAAAAAACAATTTTTTAGATCAACAAATCAAAAGAGTAGTAAATGGTATATAAGTCTAAGGCCTCATTTGTTTGCGCTTCATGGAGGTCTGAATCTTAATCATTCAGATCTCAAATATTAAGTGCGTTTGTTTTTAAAGTCTGAATCTTAATTATTCGGAGCTTAATTATTAAGTGTGTTTATTTTTTTTTTACTTCATAACCACTTAATGGGTCTGAATAGGTCTGTATGATTAAGATCTATAACATAGACTTAATTTCATTAAGATGCTATCACATATTCATTATTAACTGCCGCCACCGCCTATCATTATCAACGACCACTATGCCGCCACCACCACCACCATACTCAACCACCGCAACCGTCACCACCACCATCATCCTCAATCATAGCCGTCACTATTATCGACCATCACCACCCACTATCCCCACTACTTCAACCACCATCATTCTCACCCGCAATCAACACTCATCCACCTCAACTACCATAACTGATCACCCCATCAGCATCAACAACCACAGCCGGCACTGCCCATCATTATAACCGACACCACCCACCCACCACCTTCCTTAGTCACAACTACAATCACCATCCGCCATTATTAACTATCACCACCCACCACCACCATCCTCAATCATAATCGCCACCACTACCAATCACTGCTAGCTACTATCATGAACCACCATCATCAACCAAAACTACCACCAACCATCGCCTCTAGTCGGCATGCACCTGTTAGCCATCACCACCAACAACTATCATATTTTAAAAAACTATATATTTTATTGATAGACTATTAGATTAGTTAGTATTTCATTTGAATTTTATGTTTATTAATTTTCAAATAAAGATAAATTTTATACATTCAGATGTTAAAAATCAAACAGTCTTAATTATTTAGTATTCAGATCTTAATACACATCTTCATATATTTAGATGTGTATTCAGATTCAGATGTCTTAATCTTAATACACATCTTGATATTCAGATGTGTATTTAAATTCAGACGTCTTAATCTTTAAAAAAAAATGAGGCCTAAAATATCCACTATATTAAAAGGATCTGTACTACTTGTCTACTTAGGTCAACTCACTTGGTGATTATAGACGAATTGAAAATTCAAAATTTATGGGTTCCTACAATAACCTTATGGTTAATACTTAATTGGGATTTTTACCTAGCTATACTATAATAGAAACCTATTCACTACCTTTATTTAGGTTCCTTATTATAATATATATATATATATATATATATATATATATATATTTTACTGAGTTTTATACAAAACCTTATAAAAAGGAGGAAATGAACATACCTTAAATACTGGGTATCAGTTACACATAATCCCCTCTACATTTAAGATACTCTTTTCTTTTTCAAAAATATACAAAGCACATCTGTCTTTACTTACCCACTGTAAGAAACCACTGATACCCAAAATCATTACCTCTTTTCATACAAATCAACCAATATCTCTCTCCCTCCCTCATACAAATCAAACTATTATATCTCTAAAATTGTAGCATCATATATTTCTCTGAATCAATTTTACCAACAACCATTAAAAAGTTTCAACTATTGGCAAATCCATCAATATTATCTCTGAAATTGTAGGTGGAGGGGTCTGCCATTGACATACCATTAGAAAGCTTCGAAGCTTTGAATTAGATATTCAGATTTTACGAATTTGTGATTTTTTTGGATTGGGTGTTCTTGAAAACGATTGAAAATATCCTTTAGAGTTTAGATCTCAATTTTATGGAGATTCGTTAAGTTTAAAGTTGGTTTAGGTTGAATTTTTCTGATTGAAACTCGAGAAGAAGAAGTTTCGAATTGTATTACGATTGTATGATAACTGTATCATAATTGTATCTGAGTTGTATTGATACGTCAATACCTAAGACAATTCTGATATAATATTAATACTATTAAAATACAATATTGTATCGTAATTTAAGTTTAGAGTTGGTTCTAGGTGGGTTTTAAATTGAAACTTGAAAAGATGAAGATCAAAGTTGTATCATAATCTAGAATTTTATCATAATTGTATCGCAATTTGTACCTAAAAACAATATATGATACAACTGCTAATACAAATATAATACGATATTGTATTAGTTTAAGTTTAGCATCGGTTTTAAGTTTTATCATAATTGTATCAGAATTGTGTAAGAATACTTTCGGGATTGTATCAAATTTTATCTGAATAATGAGTAGTGTGAGTTCATGACGAATTCACAGTTTATATCACAAATATTATTATAATTATATATTAATTTATTATATTGTATCAGGTATTATTTTGGATATTAATGTACCATCTACAAGTTAGATACAATTATGTTTTACGCATTGATATATCTGATACAATTCAAAAGCAATTATGATACAGTTATCATACAATCCCTGAATATTTTTTTAATTTTAGTGTTGTCCGGTCTCTCAACAAAAGAACGATGCAATTGATGATTTAATAATATAAAGCTGTCGCCAATGGTGGGAAGAGAGAGATGGAGATTCTGGTGTGTAGATTAAGGGATTTTGATGTAAAAAAAAGGAAAGGGAAAAAAGGAAAGGATATAATTGAATCCCTTAATTTAAGACACTAATAATGAGATGAGAGCCTTTTAAGGAGAAATCTACACAATTTGTAAGAAAAACCTAGATACTTATTAAAAAACTACAAACATAGAGAATATTGGTAAATAAGTTTTCTATATAGTATAGATGGTAAATATCCCTAGTTAATATACCATAATAATTGAATTCATAGTTACATATTTATAAATATTTAATAAATTTCTTAATAAAAATGCAAGGTCTGAATAGAAACTACTAGGTACATGAACTCATAATTTATAAGTTTTCCGTCCCTATTGGTAATTGGCTGAGTTGGCTCATGGGTGCACATTAAGAATTAGCTTAAAAGACTACTTAATGGCATATCCAATGCATTAGGATAAAAATTTAGAATATTTTAGGTCACAAAGCATTTATTTTATCTTTAAAACATAGTAAAGGATTGGTATAGGTGATAGAAGGATGAACAGATTTTGAGTTGACTCAATTGATTATATAAAATTAGAGCGAAGAATTATTTATTTAAGTAATTATGATTTTTCTCCTTGTAATACCATTAGTGACACCACCATCCGTCTTTATCATTATTTAAGTATGTTTCTTGGATTATCTTTTTAGTGCGTTGACAATAATCCGGGGTATTTGCATTTATACCCGCTTTTTGGATCACGTTTTAACTTGTACCCGCTTGGCAAAAAAAATTGCAAGCATACCCACTTTTTCGCGTAACTTCAACATACGGGCCTGAAGTAGCAAAGGCAATCACGCAAACTTCAGCATTCTAGTAGACGGGCTT